TTATTTTTTTTCTTATGATATCACTGGCCTGGGCCTGCTCTTGTTAATTTCAATTGGAATTTTGCTCTTGACCCCAGTGGGAGCAAGAGTGGATCGAATATGCATTACATCATCTTGCATTTAAATTACTTCATTGCTAGAAGACAACATTTGCTTGACATTTTAAAAAATGAATATACAGATGTGCAGTGAATCTCCATTTGCCTTTTTATTGGTAGCAATGTCTCTGACCCTTAATAGTAAACAGCAAGAAATATACACCACGAATCACAATGCCCTTGCCTCTTTATAACTCTTTGGCTTGAAATTAACAAACTAACTCATTTTGATAGCAGTTTGCCGATCATCTAGGGAACCTTTATAGTGTCTGTTGCATCTAAATGAATCTCTCCATTGTCACTCTGCCATGAAACTTAATTCATATGACATTCATTTGACATATAGGTTGTCAGCATAGCTCTAGGTTTCTCCAGGATAACACTACACTGAGTGAGGGATTTCAGCTCAGTTTGATGAAAGGTAATGAAGTAAAAGTCATCTTATTTTTATTTGCAGCGAGTTGATTCTGTGCTATACTGCTCATCAGTTGTGAAATGTAAAGTATCTATAACGCAGGTGCCTTGGGGGACTGGAGAGCAGCGTGGTCACCCATTCGCAAAAGCATGCCTTTCAATACATGGAATGTACCACAAAACCAAACAAACAAAAAATGCAGCACATTATCTGACTTTGTAGATCATTTACAGCTGTTTTCTCCCCTTCCTCTCTCTTTCTCAGCATGTGACCAGCTTGCGTTTGGTGTAGCTGCACTGTTTGGACCCTCCCACAGTTCCTCGGTCAGTGCGGTGCAGTCTATTTGCAATGCTCTTGAAGTTCCACATATACAGACCCGATGGAAGCACCCTACAGTGGATAACAAAGATACATTTTATATCAACCTCTACCCAGACTATGCAGCCATCAGTAGGGCAATTTTGGATTTGGTACTATATTACAACTGGAAAATAGTGACAGTAGTATATGAAGACAGTACAGGTACGTAACTGTTGGAGCATGATTATATATAAAAATATTTTGTTTAATAAAAACTGAACGTAGTAGGATGTGGCACATATGGGAGAATTCTCCTAGGATGTAGTGTAGAAACTGATCACTTGACACACTTTTACAGGTTTTCACTTGGTCAGAATTCAGAGCTGCACATTCAAGTGCTACCACCCTCATGGTACCAGCTGGTGCTTTGCGTACAGAAAGAATATGGTTTGACCACAGCTATAAAATGACATTGTGCTTTTCATCACTGAGAACAATAATACAGAATCAAATAGCTAATCTCCATAGGCTGTGCTGAGTAATAGTTTGTCTGAATATGCTCTAGGAATTAATTTGGGGAAGTTCTATGGCCTGCGTTACACAGGAGGTCAGACTAGATGATCACAATGATCCCTTCTGGCCTCGGAATCTATGAATGACAGGTTGAGAATCGCACTGATGCCTAGCTCACCTGGAAATAATTGTATGTAGAAGACTACAGTTGAGTAACTCAAACTGAAGCCCTTTTAACATGGCTGATCTCTGTGTCTCCCGAAATTGTGCCCTGAAATCACCAGCCTGGTTAACAAGTGAGTATATGAAAGCCAGGCTGTGAGTTCTCCAGTTGCTGCTGATGCTGCTCCCTTGGGAATGAAATACAGATGAACATATTCCTTTTGTGGTGAAGCCCCCTTCCCCACGTGCACGATGGGGTTAATGGACAACACTTTCATTGTTGTACACTGGGACAGGGCCGCCCGGGGGGGGGCAAATGAGGCAATTTGACCCAGGCCCCGGGCCCCGCAAGGACCCCCACGAGTATGTCGGAGGCTCTCCCGCCGCCTCCTTCTTCCCCCATCCCCCGGCGTCTCAGCGCGCTGCATCCAGGAGCGGCCCTGGCGCACTGCAGTGCCGTGGCTCCAGCGCTGTCTGGGGCTGCTTCTGGACACAGCGCGCTGAGGCTCCGGGAGAGGGGGTAAGCGGCATGGTAAGGGGCCTGGCACCCCTCCCCCGACCCCATCCCCCACAGCCCTGACCCCCAGCTCCGAGCCCAGCCCCTCTGAGCCG